TCTTAATTTAACCAACTACATCTTCAGCAATTCTATTCCCAAATAAGCTCACCTTTAAAGTACTGGGGGAAAGGGCATCAATGTATTTTTGTTTGGTGGAACACAATTTAATTCAGAAGAATGTATGTTGAAAGAATAGAGGTAAATGTAGAGTAATGAAGTCCATTTGGAATGGTAAAATTTTCATAAACATCACTGAATTTAGTGTTTTCTGTCATGAGCATAGAAAGAACATTCCTGCTACATGGAAAGATGGCACATCTTTCTTACTCATCAGATAGAGACCAAATGCAGTATTAGAATGACCCAACAACCAAAAACCACATAAATGAGCCAGGTGAAAGGTCCTTAGCATGGAGAGCTGCCCTGGGAACTATATACATCATCATGATATCCATATATAAAATTTGTGAAAAAAAATCTTAAGTAAGTTGACATCAGGGGTAAAATGCATCTATAGAACCAGTCTATTACAACCCTGAGGTCCAGAGAGCTTTACCAAGGTGTTTGTTTGCCAGGAGTGTGGCAATAAAGAATTTATTCATGGACTCCACAACCAGTGTTATGGAATCAATGGTAAGATGTCAGGCAATAGCACCAAATAGACACAGAGTCAGAATCTTCTTTGATATTGATGCCATGAGATCCATAGGAGGATGCCTGATTTCATATTCTGAATAGATTTCCAGGCATCAACGTTAAAAGTAGCAACACAGTGTTCCTGCATCTATATGCTGGATCAAAATTACTTTTTATGTCTTAAAATAAGGCCTTCTTTAAAGTTATTAGATAAGAATTGTAAGATGAAAGAAGGGAAATCACAATTTAACAAGCTCTAGAGTGATTTTTACACAAAATTCAAGTACCAGAGCAATAGTATGAGAGGAAAATGAAAAACATGTGCTAAATTAAAACAGCACTAAGGCAATTATCATTAGGGAAGATTTACAGTCCCCCTGTTCCTCCATCTCTACAGTAATTCCAAATTTTTGGAGTATAGAAACCATAGAAGGATTTTCATTTGAATATTCTACATTTTTTAAAAGAGGGTAATACATTGAAAATGGTAATACATATAGAAAAACTCTCCAAAATATCACTTCAGTACACACAGCAGTAAAACCCAATTTTCTCAAGATAATCAAGAGGATTGCATTAGAGACATTATTAGAATATTAAAGAATAAAATAATCCACCCATCAACCATCCAAAAGAAAGGATCAATGTACCATGAATTTGTCTGATTAGGGGTAGGTATAATGGTAGTCAATATCTGTACATCTCTGATGTAACTTAACTGAATATGAGTGTTGATTGCAAGCCCTCGAAGGTAAACAGTAGAATTACTGCAAAGGCAGTGGGGGCTGACTCTTATAAGAAAAGCATGTCAAAATTATTTGACTTATGTTTACACAAAAGTAATTATCAAGCTTAAAGCTCTGAAACTACACAGTGGAAATCGAAAATGTGGAGAATATTTCACTATGAAAGGATTGTTTTGGTAAAAACCCAAATAATAAACATAAAGGGATATATGTGGGTGCTCAACACTATAAATTGCTCTTTACTATAAATCCATGTATTCAAATAAGGCAATACGTATTATCAGCTAACATAAAATGTAATTATTTTATGAGACAATGTTCCAGTTGAAGATGCCACCTAATAAGGATAACAATTAAAATTATTTTTGTGAAGTGTTTCCATTGTCATATGTTAGGATAAATGTGGAAAAATGAGTCTAAACTTTAACTTTGATATGGGCTTGTAACAAAAAAAACCACATTTTTGAGAAATGATGTGTCCTGGTTTGTCCATTATTTAAAACATCATTTTTCTAGGGAAATTAAATTCAGATAAATAAATTAGGGGGAAGATCAGAAGAGAGATAGGCACACATAAAAGCAGAGAAATGGAGGGAGAAAGGGAGAGAGGAAGGGAGAGAAGGAGCTTTCATGTGGTTAATCAAAGAAAGCTTTATTATGTATTATGTGTATTTTTTCTTTTTTCATTTTGTTCCTTCTTCTTCCTCCTCCTCCTCTTACTTTTCTTCCTCTCTCTTCTTTGCCTCTTCTCCTTCTCTCTCATAAGTCTCACCCATCTTATATAGGAAGAGAGAATAAATCTCTTGCTTTGCCCTCCAAATATTATATTTTTTCCCCTGTATGTAAGACAACAAATCCAAAACATTACTTTCATTTTTTCATTGTCATTAACCTTAAAAGCTATTCATATAATTGTATGCTTCAATATTGGCGGTGTTTCACAGTATAATATTGGCTCAGTAAGATCAACAGATTAATTAACAGTTTTGTTTCATGTAAATTCATGATTGGATAGAAATTAGGAAGTCAGGTAATGAAAGACTCACTAACATGCAAAACTGTATGTACTCTCAGGAAAGGACTCTTGATAGGCTGGCAAGCTGTCATTTCATCTTTGGCACATTTAAATATGTTAGGAAACTCTCAATTTCACAATGATAGCCATTTCAGATTTAGTAATTCTGATTCATAATTCTCCTGTTCTCCAGTATTAACTCTGTTCAGTTCTCTGTCTGGTAAGGAGATGTCTTATTTAAATGATGGTGACTGCTTCATTATTTAGGGACAGTCGTTCTGAAACTCTTAACTCTCCACACTTATTAAACCTCTGTGTTCCTCATACTTTTCTCAGATGACATTCATTCCATACTCTTGATTATTTTGTTTACACGATTTCATTTTATTAAAAAAAATGCTCCTCAGTCCATGCTCATAATGGGCTTCAGTTACTATCTGAAGAATGGATGGACCTTCTTATAAATTTGATAATTCTAGGAAGCAAATCAGAATGGCCTTTCCTAAATTACTTGCATAATAGCCATGTGTCCTCTCAAATTTTGTTTTGTATCCATAACAAATTTTAACAATTTAAGCTTGGTATCAGTGTTACAGTTCCTTCATTTCAATTGAACAGACTTTTCATTTGATAAACAAGGCAAACAGAGCCAATAAAGGATTTTGAAGAAACAAACAGTACTTTGTGCCTGCTTGTGTTACACGGGCTTTTGTGAAAGTGTGATTCTGTAGGGGAGTGAGCATGCACATCGCCTATAGACACCATGAGCTGCCAAAGACACTGGAATATTTATGATTTATTTTGGAAAAATAATCAAGTAACTATAAACTGGTTTTTGGCCCTACACATTATTTTATGTATAATATGAAGAAAGAGATAATGAGAAATATTTAAAAAGTGTTGATAGAAATATTTCAAGATAGGAGATCAAATATTAGAGGATATAAAACTTTTAATTGCATAAAATTTGGTTTACCATGAACAAAAATCTTTTGTACAGCAAAGAGTTTTGATTTTCTCTTCCCAACTACTATGGATCTTCCTAAATATATAGCATGGAGAGATTGTGGAATTGTACAGCGGTGTAGTATTCTTTTCACACAGAGTATCCTGTGTCACATCTTTTCTTCTCTCTGCTGTTTTTCACATATGTCTTCTTTAAAAAAAATCAACAAAATCAGCTGCTGAATATATTAAGGACATGCAGATTACATATTCACAATTTTGTGATGTTAGGAAAATCTAGAGAAAATTTTGATTGTGTAAGCACTGAAATTCTGTCTTAACTGCTTTTGGAATAAAAACCCCAAATGAATGTGTGTGAAACTGATACAGCTTTTGACTGTTAACAAATCACTCTGCACTGGACAGAATTTCTTTTCTACTATTAAAAAATATCAATTACATCCTATAACATTAGGGATATTAGTGAGAATGCCAAAACATAAATTAGAAAAGGGGTGTTCTGTGACTGGTGATAAATGAGGTAGGAAGGGGTGTTATGTGAGTGATACATGAGGTAGAAAGGGGGTGTTCTGTGAATGATACATGAGGTAGAAAGGGGGTGTTCTGTGAATGATACATGAGGTAGAAAGGGGGTGTTCTGTGAATGATACATGAGGTAGAGAGGGGTGTTCTGTGAATGATACATGAGGTAGAGAGGGGTGTTCTGTGAATGATACATGGGATAGAAATTCTGTGAATGATGATATGTGAGGTAGAGAGGGGTGTTCTGTGGATGGTGATACATGAGGTAGAAATGGGGTGTTCTGTAGTAGTAATACATGAGGTAGAGGGGGGGTATTTTGTGAATGATACATGAGGTAGAAATGATACATGAGGTAGAGAAGGGTGTTCTGTGAATGGTGATACATGAGGTAGAAAGGGGTGTTCTGTGAATGGTGATACATGAGATAGAAATTCTATGAATGATGATATGTGAGGTAGAGAGGGGTGTTCTGTGGATGGTGATACATGAGGTAGAAAGGGGGTGTTCTGTGAATGGAATACGTGAGGTAGAGAGGGGGTATTTTGTGAATGATACATGAAGTAGAGAGGGGTGTTCTGTGAATGATACATGAGGAAGAGAGGGGTGTTCTGTGAATGATACAAGAGCCAGCCAGCTACACAACTGTCACATATATGTAGAAGGCCTAGGTCAGTCCCATGCAGGATCCCTGGTTGTTGACTCAGTCTCTGTGAGCTCCTATGAGCCCAGGTTAGCTCTTTCTGTGGGTTTTCCTGTGGTGTCCCTGATCTCTCCAGCTCCTGCAATCTTTATTCTTATAGTAGTAAAATATTAGGGAAAATGACTCTGTTGGGAGAAGGGCCATTTTAAATGTACATTGAAGTTTTAAAAATAAATGTTTTTTTGGAATCATCTATGTGAATTGTTAGCTCACTAATTTAGATAATTAACTGTGCATTCTATTTCAGCTGTCTTTAAAATTAGGAAGCAAGGACCTCTTTTTCTGAAATAGCATTACTATATTTTACTCAGTTCTCACTTCTATGGATATAATTCACTCCAAATATATGATGCATTAATTCAAATAGTTTTATTTTATGTATCTGGAGAACTCCAAAGTCTGTTTCTATTCATTTCCATAAAATAAAGATGCAATGAACTTAAATAAATTTGTTTTTACTTTCTCTTTCAGGGTCCAAGTTGAATTCTACATGAATGAAAACACATTTAAGGAGAGATTAAAATTGTTTTTCATAAAAAACCAGAGATCAAGTAAGTTATTTCCATCATTCTCTTTGGCTCTTTAAATAGAAATCTACCTCAAAATTCCAGCTGTATAATGTTTCACAAAATCATTGTCTGTATAACAGAATAAATTGGTAGAATATTTAGTTGGAAGTAACCATAAAAAAAACAAAAACAAAGCAGAAGATGCTACATCCAGTAGTTTAAAAGTCTCTTGAATATTGCAAGTCCCTAAATCCCACATGAATAGGGAGAGCCCTATGTGCCCACTTGAGTTCTGAAAAACACTGACAAATATAGTTTAAGTAGAGCACACCTTTAATCTCAGCACTCCGGATGATGAGGCAGAAGGATCAGAAAGTCAAGGTTATGGAACCTTATAGATTGCATTATGTGTGGGGGAAGGGCTCATAGGTCTTATGGCTGCCTGATATGGCAGGCAATGGTTGCTGGGGATAGAGAAGTCCTTTTGTTCAGTGGTGTAGCCACTGGATAATGCTCATGAGCCTGTAAATACCCATGGCCCATACTCAGGCAAGTAACCCCAGTTACACTCAAGGGTTTGGAAAATATGGGATATAGGAACATATCCATATTCTGCCTATAGGAACGTTAACTCATACTAGTGAGATACTCTCAATGGCAGAGTCGCTTCAGGGTTAAAGTTAGGAATTTGTTAATGCCTTCCTAACTTTGTTTTTAGCATTTCTGAGGAAGCCCTATCAGTAGACATTACCTAAAGTGACTAAATCACTTGAATGAAGCCTTCCTCAACACCGTGAATCAGGATTAGTCCAGTCATTGTTTGAATACTCACCTGACTAAAGAAGATATCCGTTCTATGAATCTGTAAGCTTTAAGAAGAAATGAGCCCTTTTCAATCCTGTAGTTTTTTTGTTCAGAATGTTTTGTTGCAACAACAGGGCTGAAACCAGAGAATGTAACCCACAAAACTCCTAAGCACTTTATAAGAAAATCTAGAAATGATTGCACAATTAAAAAATTTACTCTTAAGGAATGTTATAATACATTCTACAAAAATAGACTAGAAAAGGTAACATTCGATTTTAGATTTCATAAATTAATAATTATTGGAAAGCCTTTCTCACAATTTTATGGAAGATACATAAGGCAACTACCACTGACAAGTACAAGAATGGCAGTGTGTCTGTTAATTCTGAGCATGTTTACTTAACCTTCTTCACCCAGTATCGTGGTGCTTCCAACTGTGACCTAAGAAGTTTGTCTGGCATATTCATGATGCTCTTAATTTTCACAAAATTTAAGATTCCATTGACATTAATCCTAGTTTTTAAAAAGTTCAATTTGCCAATTCAGTATGAGAAAAAATGTTTGTCTATATGTGTATTTATCAGTACAAGTTATTATGGCTTCTCTTCATAAATGATGGCATAATTACTATATAACCTGTAATTGTAGAGGTGATATATGTCATAATATAAACATAATAGCAAAAGTATCACACATAATTATATAAACATGTTTTCTCTGTAATCAAATCAACAAGGTGCTACAGAGCCATAGGATTTATTATAGTGTATGGGGGGAGCAGCTTGATTTTTGAGCTAGTTAAAGTTGGTTTCCAAGCAGCGATTAAAATGCTTGAAGCTGTACACAGAGGCCTGAACCAACCTTGACTAAATGTTAATTTTATGGCTTTTGACTTTTAAAACCTGAGTTTCCCATCTGTAGAATGCCCTTGGTCATTTGTGGTTCATTGATTCTATGACACTCACATTTTATTTTAGTAGTTGGATAATTAAAATTCATCTACCAAGAAATTCAGTAAGTTTAGGCAATTACTGTGTATGCTTTGTAAATACTTTCTAACTGTTGTACTGAAAGTTTATACTTTTGACAATTTTTTTGATCTCTTTTATGTGCTGAGTTCAAATGAAAACCGAATTTTGTTGTTTGCTTAAAGGTCTAAGAATCCGCTTGTTCAACTTTTCCCTCAAATTGTTAAGCTGCTTATTATACATTATCCGAGTGCTGCTTGAAAAACCTTCACAGGGAAATGAATGGTAAGGTTTGTTTGTGTGATCCCCACAGTGTTTTAATTGTTTTGAATTGTTGCAATTTGCAGAATATTATTCACTTTTTAAAGGAGGTGAGGCATTTGTATGAACTGATCTGATCTTTAGGTAACTCATATCTTCCAAGATTTTTGGATACATTACTGTTTAAAAATAATCTGAATTCCGTTCCATGATTGTGCTGGTGCCAGTCAAAATGCTTTGAGTATTATCTTAAAATGGGCTCATGTCGCTGAAGACTTGAAGGTCTTTCTGTTACTGAATCACAAACTCTCGGCAGTATGCCAGCTTTCTACATACTTTATGTTTCAATGCACTTGTTACTCTTCAACAGAAATACTCAAGAATCTTTCAAAATGGTTTCAACCTATGAATATTTATTTAGTTAAGTGATATTAATTTATTGATGTATTTTAGTTTTTTACATTCACGATCTTATTACTTTGCCTAACGTATTTCCGCTAAGTCATTGCCTTCCTTTTAGGCTTTGACCTTTGCAAAAACAGTAGGGAAGAGGCCTGAGTGTGTAATGACATTCATACATAATTTTGATCTCATTAACACCCAGGACTCCTGTTCTACCGAGTAAGTTTACAATGATATTCAAAGGAGAAACTAAAATTTGGTGACTAACTCCTGTTATAAGTTTCTCTCATTAAATTTTGCCTTAAGATAAAACAAAAATTCATAAAGAGAGAAAAAGAGGTTACATTATATATAAAAATTTGATATATATATGTACAAATATATAAATTTGATAATCTAAATTGCCTAGAAAGTGACTGTAATTTTGAGTTTATTTAAGGGTTTAGATATCAGATGAGGATTAGTAAGTGAATAAGTCAAGTTTGGCTACTGTAATAGTATGTGTGATAATTACTTATGAAATTGAATCATGGTGAGTCACTTTCATGAATCCTTGGTCTATCTCAGTCATATTACTGTAAGTTAGGTTAGTGAGAGGCTCATTGGAACATTCAGTTTTCTGTAGGAATCTGCCTGTGTAAAAGCGGTTTGGAGGAATCCTGCTATTTTTCTAGTATGAGATTCATTTCATGGTGTATGTTATTTCCTTTAGTAGACAGTTAATTTTTACCATAGAATTCTTAAATCAGAATCAGTGGCTTGCTTATATTTGCTATTTCTGCTGTGGGACCTTCATGACAAATCTCATTATGCCTATTTTCCAGTGACCATGGGGTACAATGCCTGCCTTTCCCCTGTATTCCAAGTGCATTCTATACTCAGATTCTTCACTTGGCTGTCCAGAATGCATTCTAAGCTTACCATACTCCAACCAGCTTCTGCACTCTTCTTCGCTTTCACAATGAAGAACAACATTCTCAAAATCCTGCTCCAGTCACGGCCTTCTCCATTGCTGGTGATAATTCCAGCTGCACAGTGGATCAGCCCAACATTTTTGCAGTTCCCCTTAGCTCCCAATTTTGTCTGTAGCAGATGAAAACCACTGAGAACATTTTGCTGTTCATACATTCAACATCTACCCTGCTTTCAACTGCTTTTCAATGTGTTACCTTGATGCAGGCCACGTACGTTCTTCAGGACTGCTTCAGTAGCCTGGTTCTCAGTCTTGCTAGTCTATGAATGTTCCCTTTTGGTTTATTCTCCACAGGAGAGTCATTGTTGCACTAAAGTGTAAGCCTAGTTCCTATTCCTCTGCTTTGAATTACAGCGTGCCTGCATTATAACCCCCTTTCTTTGTAGCTTACCCTGTGGCTGCTTGTCCTCTGCCACTTTTCCCTAGACCTTGTTTCTAGTCTTAGGTCACAGGAGGCACATGTCCAGCTTAGAGACTTCACATAGGCTTTGGCTGTTGGGACTTCTTTTAGCACTCTCCCTATAAGATCCCCAGAAACATTTGCTTATTTTTCTCTAGTGCCTTTGTCTCTTTTACATAACGTACATATTTTTCTTGTTCGCTTTACTTCCTGAGTTTCTGTGAACATTAGTATAGTCATAGGTCATTGGCTGAATCCCAGGTGGACACACTGAATGGTAGTCATTTTCTAAATAAGTGAGTGAAGAGACATATAAATGACATAGTTTTATGTTCTAACTCTTGCTTATGTCACTTCCAACTCTAGTGGCCTCCTTAAAATCACTGGGACATTCTTTGTCCTCTTTATGTTGAGGCTTCTGAGAAAGGTGTTTTCCCTATCTGCCACTCAAAATTCATCCCTTTAAACTTCTTTTTGCGATCCTGGACCCTCCAGGATATCAACTCTTTGGCTAATATTGAAATATGACGTCCTTACTTGGCATTGTTCCCTGTGGTTAGTTCTACACTGGTTTGGGAGGCTTAGGTCGTCCTGTCTGCACAACTTCCAGGTATTTCTCTTAGACTCCCTAAAGCATTGCTCTTAAATTTCCCATTTATTTCTCTGTCTTATCTAGAAGTTTGCTGAGATCAAGAGCAATGTTGTCTTGTAGCTTTCTTTCATACTTATCATAGGTCTTGGGAGGTTCTCTTAATAGAATTCTCTGTTAATAGAATTATGCCCACAGATTTTACTAATGCTTTTCCATGGAAGATTATCGAGGACCAATATCTAGAGATGTCAGTGTATACTGAGTTAAATCATGCTTCTGTCTTTGTGTCATTAAAAAGGGTCCCCCTAAAAAATCCTTCTATAAAATACTAAAGTTGTTTTTAAAACTTGATGATTTACGAATAGAACGTACATTAGAGAGACCTGAAAATTCTGAAATGGTCTGTGAAGGATGCTCCCAAAAGAAAAAGCCATTGGTGAGTTATAGCAGAATAAAATTATATTATTTGGAAACATTAAGAGAACAAAGTTTCCTACAATTAACTTCTGTGTAATATTACTAAGAATATTCAGTCATAATTACAGAGGATATACATTTGAAAAACTAGATTACTGTAATTAAAAACCATAATAAACTAACTTATGTCTCCAATTTGAGTACGCTGTTTTGTTTAGTTCTATTGTCAATGCAGTCTTGGTTAATGAAAAACAGAAGTGGCCTTTATGGGTACAGGCTCTATTTTAAAATAATGAGACTAATTCAGCAAAGAGATTTATTTAATTATAGTTCTGACCTGATAAGGACACAGATATTTTGAGCTGCTTTGCTTTATTTTTAAGCTTCTCTCGGGAATGAAACTGATGTGAAACTATTGCAGTGTGAATAAACAGAAAGACAGGAAAGCAATTGTACTGTGAATGTTTGACCATGGATACTGTAAACGTTGGTACATGTGGTATGTTGTTAAGGATTTCAAGGTTGTAGTGCAAGAGAGTGCTCTGTGTATTTATGGGCCACATTAGAGGACGAGCTGTGTTTACTCAGGACCTGTAGAAGCTTACATCTCAAGTCTATCTAAATACACACCTTTGTTTTGACTTTTGAAAATGTTCATGTGATTATGGTTGTTATTATTAGTATTAGCATTATTGTTAGTAACGGTAGTAGTAATAAGTGGCAGAATCAAGTCAGGAAGCACATTGTGGTGGCTAGTTGCTTCTATATTCTGGTCAGTACTAAATTATGTATGGCCTAGCAATGTCGGCCTAACAAGTGCTCAGTTTCTTTTGTATGTTGTGTGTTGGGGAGTTTTTAATTCACTAGCCTGGTTTAGGTACCACATAGTACAGACCTGTATCAATCAGTAATTTGAAGAACTAGGAGGAGTCCTTTGAGCTTATCTTGTACTCTTTCCCTGGCTGCAGTTTTCCCTCCATCCTCTCCTCTCACTCCCACCCCCACTCTGTCCCCACCCTCCAATCCACTCTTCCTCAAAACAAGGCATATCAATTTTCAGTAAGGCTAAGCACCTCCTCGTGTATTAAGGCTGGGCAAGGCAACCCGGTATGAGGAGTGTGGTCCCAAAAGAGAGTCACAGACACAGAAACAGACCCTGCTCCCACTGCTAGGAACGGCACGAAAGGAAGTAGAGGGAGTGGGAAACCTACCCAGTCATATAACTTTCCACCTACAGTCTGTCCTGCCTATGGGATGTGCTAGGATTGGTGCCCAGCCCAGTTGTCATCTAGAGGCTTCATCCAGCAACTGATGGAAACAGATGCAGACCCACAGCCAAACAACAGGCAGAGCTCAGGGAAAAAGGAATATAGGAGCCAGAGGGGCCAAAGACCCCACCAGAAAAACCCACAGAATCAACTAACCTGGGCTCATAGGGGCTCACAGAGACTGACCCAACAACCAGGGAGTCTGCAGAGGACTGACCTAGGCACTCTGCATACATGTGACAGTTTAATCTTTATTTTCAAAAGGTACAAGGTATGGTAGAGGGATCTGATGCAAAATTTCTTCTAATAAATATTACTACAATTGCAATTCAAAAATCATATGTGGCAAATGAATTGATTTTGGTAGGTTTTAAAAATTAGTAAGCTCTCAAAAGGGCTTACTCAAATTGAAGACCTCATTCTGGGTTACCATGCCCACTTTGGGAGGTGCTTAGATGAAGGGGTCCGTGTGGTGAAGATGAAAGCACATGGATGCTTTATGTACTTGGTGGGGAATATTGAAATGGTTTACTGACTAATGGGTCAGGGTGCAGAGAAGAGTGTCTGTGAGCAGACGCAACAGACTCCAAGCCACTTTCTGAAATCTGCAAATGATAGAATGGACAACAGACTTTGAGGGGAAATCCCAAGTTTGGGTTGGAGTAATTGAAGATGTCATTTAGCCAGGCAGATTGTGAAACTCTAGAGTACTGTATAGTAATGTTCAGCATAGTGGCTTTCTGTGGTTCCTTAAGCTTTTTAAAGTAAACAAAATTGGAAGTGTTTATGGCTCTCTTATTATTCTACATACCATGAACAGAAAATTCCAGTGTTTGGAAATGCATTTAATGCTTTATGAGATTTTTCCACTTTTCAAAACTTCAAAGAGTAGGTTGTGTTAACTTTATTGAAGGGTCATTTTTGTTTAATGAAAAATGAAATTGTAACAATTTTCATCTTTTCCTAAGTAGATTTTATTTTTCTGAATGACTCCTGATTCAATCAATTACATGTATAATTAGTGGTATATTAATTCTGTTGTGGTGTTCATTAGAGAGTTTAAATATTTTGTTAATTTCAGAAAGAGTAAAGTAACAGTTAAAGAAGACTCCTATGGACAATTATTTCACAGAAGGACATGATCTTACATATAGTCTACATTAACCTCAGTCAACTTGATTTTTATTTGGATTAAATACATTCTATAGAAGTGCAAATATAAGCTATTAATGTACTCTGAACTTTTAGTTACTAACTTTATTCTGATTGTGTGTGTTGTTCATTGTGTATTATTCAAATACAAATACTTTTAAAACAAAGTCTTTGCATTTGTAGAGGAGCCTTTAATGACTTTTTAGTGGATAATGGAGCAAAGATTTTGAGATGTTCCTGTCCTGCCATATCATTCTAATGGCTTGTTTTGTTTTCCATTTGCTATGAACAGCAATGAAAAGGTAAATTAAAATGCGATGTGTTTTTATTGGAGTAGAAATGGATATTAGTTAAAACGCTGAATCCATGTTATTACTCTCATGCTCTCATGCTGTTTCTGTATTTGTTTTCTTTTATATGCTAATTGCTATTGATAAACTTTCAAGTATAATCAAATTTTTATAATACATGGATTTTTCACATTAAAAAAAACTGACATTTTAATTTTTCTTTCCATAGGTCTCACATATTTTGGGTTAACAGAAGTCTACCTTTGTGGGGCTTACAGGTTATGTACAATTCTGTCTTATTCCTCTATTTCTGAATTCATTAATATTTCACAGAGATACCCAGTTGGGAAGTGAACTGTTGATGTTCAAATTGAGTTTGCCTTTATGGCTAACCTTAATGCACATGATAGGCTCACATTTTGACTTATTTCTTCTTGTTTTTCTGAACCTTGCATTCTAACTTTCGAGATTTTTTTCCTTGCAATCTGGATGAGACTTTAGAGAATGCTGGAAAATTAAAATAGGTATATAAACAAAAAAGCCAAGAAATGTCTCAACCCTCCATGTCTCCCAAACTACTTTCCATGACTCATTTATGTAACTCCTTTCAGATCAGTCAAGCACCACAATTGTGGGTACTTTTTTTTTTCTAGGGGAACATGAAAGAATCTAAGTAAATGAATGTATAAGCTTAGAAGGCCAATGAAGTCTTAAGAAAGTAAGACAATAGACAAGAGGAAAGTCTGTCTGAATTATAGACCTGGGTTTCTTGGCGTCAGCCACCTAGCCTTAATTCTTGTTTCTATCAGTCTTGGTGAACATAATTGTTTTGATAAGGTCCTGTCACTTCTCCTTAAATTTATGTGCTATAGATCATTTTTTTTTAGCTTTATGTTAGTTCTTAAAAGTGCAAATTAAATGGAAAACAGGATCACTAACTTAAAGAAGACTTGGCAGTTGCAGGAAAAACTTTATGATTCACTTTGCCTGCGTTCACTTTTAGTAGTTCTATCTAGATCAGGAGTTTGATTGCCTAAAAAGCCACGCTGATTCTTTTCACATAAGGTATGGCAGTGAATGATTTTGAAAATGTAGTATGATTATGACTACAACTAAAAATTTCTGTGTACACTTCAATTAAGTGAATTTAATTACATTGATTTACACTGACTACTGTTGCAAATGTCAATTGGTATACAAATAATCCTTCCCAAATACCTTCCTCAATATTAGATGTTCATTAAAATATAATCTTATGGTCTCTCATGTAAATCCTCTATCAGTCTTTAATAAAAATTTAGAATGAATTAATATTTCAAAAAGTCCTATAGTTTCCTAAAATTGCTTTTACTTAAATTTTATTCTGAGTAGTACTTAGCATAGCATGTTAGAATTTTCTAGAACTCCTGTAGCAATATGCTATTAGAAAATAGCATAGATAATCAAAATAGAAGATTTGTGGAGAAAATCAAAATATTCTTAGCTTCCTATTATAAATATGACCAGCTGCATGAATGCTTGGATAGATTTTTACTTGGATTGCTGGACATTATCTGTTCTCATTGTGCTAAAATTTGCTGTTCACATAAATTCAAAAGTTTCATTTTAGTAGAAAACAACTTTAAAACCCCAATAAACATCATTTCTGATTATAAAGTGTCTTAAACCTTAGTTAGCAAGAAGTATAGTTGTTATTTGAATAATTTCCTGTTTGTGCTTGCATATTTCATTCTACAGTCCATTTCACACTAATGAGAAGGCAGGATATGTATTTCCATGGGAGAACCCTTGCTTACTTAGAATGTGAGAGGTCTGGGGTTCAATTCCTCAGCATTACAAAGGGAAAACACTTGTAATTAGTTCACTTATGTAATAAATGAAACATTACTGAAGAAAAATTTCTCTATTTCTCTACCTATTTTTCTGCTTCAATGTGTCCTGAAACTAACAGTAACAATTGCATATACTTTAGAGCAAGCAGAGAAAGACCTTTGTCTCAAATGACACAAAACCAGCATTTCCAACCAGAAAAGCACAATTGGTCACAGAATTGTTATGTAACCTCAAAATATCCTACATGGCTGAAATAGCCCAATTTTAGTATATTCAAGGATGTTGGCATTACATATTGCCTGAAGTAGACGAAATGATTCAATACACTGTTTGAACCTTGTATTTGGCTTTCTGAAGGGAAATGCTGATTTAAGCAGTAATGTTGGGAAAAACAGTTGTGTGTGATCCTAATTTTTATGTCTTGTGGGAGACCAGCCCCCACCATTATTTTACTTCAGGGACTCTTGAGGATTGAGAGACAAGAGACTTAGTTAGAAATAAAGAGGGGAGAGAAAACACAGGATAGACTTGGATGGGCCTGGATCCTTATCCACTGGCCCAGAACTTTATTCCAAAGGTCTATTTATATAATGCCAAGGGGAGGGGCAAAAGACTTCCCCTTTGCTAGTCACAGTCAAGTGTAGACCCTTACAAACACCTAATACTCAGGCCTGTGGTCCAATCTAACTCCCATGCAGTCCTGCTGGGTATAGCCACTAGGAAACCTAGTGGGCTACCACAATGAATCTTGCCCACTCTAGTCAGCTTGAATATTTAACTCTGATATTTATATTCAGGACATTGAATTAACAATATTTATTCAGAATATGTGAAATTGCCAGGTGTGGTGGTGCATGTCTTTAATCCCAGCACTTGGGAAGCAGAGACAGGCGATCTCTGTGAGTTTGAGGACAGGATAGCCTGGTTTACAGAGTGAGTTCCAGGACTGCCAGGGCTGTTACACAGAAAAATCCTTTCTCAAAAAAAAAATTATAAAACCTAAGCTGTAATATATCAGGTAGTATAATAATATGTGCATCTCTTCACCTGCTGATTGAAATTTAAGTGATAGTACCACTTAAATCATGTGTGTATATGTATATCTATCTATCTATATATATCATGTGTATATATATCATATGCAGCTATGTATATATTCTCACATACTTGTTTACAGTTACTAGCACGTTGTGAAAACATATTTTATTTACTTTGCATTTTCTCATTAGGTTACAATTTGTTTTTAGGTCTCAGTGGCATTGATCAGTCTATTTGAAACAATACTCCTTGGTTATCTCAGTTATAAGGTAAGCTAGTCTAATTAGTTTTCTGCTGTAGAACTCACTGCTGGCATTTACCAAGTTTTCTTCTTTTTATAATTCATACTTGGGGATAAGGCAGGCTCTTCTTAAACCACTTTAATTATTCAGAGCCTCTCTAGTATGTGATAAAAAAACTATAGTAATATGGTTGGATTTTCCTTGGTGTCTTAGAAGTACTTCACTAATTCCTGTGTGTTTACTTACCCATTATAGGCATGCTTCTATTGAGGCAGTGGAATGATACTCATTTTTATTGTTCTCAATCTCTTTTCTTAATCTGTTAAAAACATTAGAAAACAATTGTGTCTTTTAGGAGTTATTTTAATAAATTATTTTAATTACTGGTGCAGTTCTGTTTGGTTAACACAGTTTATCAAGTATTTATGAAGTGCTCCTATTTAATGAACTCTACACTTCATGGCCCTTTTCTCAATCGGTTTACAATTTTAAAAAAATGGGATGATGGGGAAACTATCCAAATTAGTGAAATATAAATCAGAAAGCAGGAAGCAGTGTTTGACAGGTATAAATAAATATGATAGGTGCAGGAAAAGAAAGAATGTTTCTTAGGATAAAAAGAAGAACCTCAGTGATAAGCAGAGTCCTTTATGAATGACTTTAACAAGGCTATGTGAAAAGACAGGGTCATTGGGGTGGGCAAATTAGCAAAGGAGTAAATAAAAGAATATGTATATGAAATGGAGGATGACAGATGACTACATTTGGTTAAAATATTGATACCTTGTATGGCAATATAGAATGGGAAATTGTCAGAACCTCTGGGTAACACAACTCCACAACACATCTTATAGTAAAGACCATGTGTTCTAGTGACAAATGATACAGTATGTAGAGAAAATCAGTGATGAGGCTGGGCATGGTTATGCACCACTGTAATTACAGGCTTTGGAGATAAAAATAGAAGGAACCAGAAATCAAGGCCAACCTCAACTATGTAGCAAGCTGGAAATTAGCCTGAGCTTCATGAGGCTCTCAAGAAAAAAAAAGAAAAAAAAAATGAAACAAAACAAAAATAACCCAGCTCAACTAACCAAAAAGACAAACAGAAAAACCCCAAACTAATAAAAATGGAGAATTAGGCTTGGTCAAATAAATTGTTGTAGCTGATGAAGGATTATGAAAGCAGAAGATAAATAAATGATGAGCTGATTGGTTTTGGTCGATGAAGAAAAGGAAACTAAAATGACATTCATTTGTAAGTTTTTCTGGATTGAGATGACTAGAAACAATGTGGGAGGACTAATAGAATTATAATATAAAGAAAAAAATCAAGGTAGAATCTGGGTAGAGCAGAATTGGTTTTGGAGATTGTGACATGGTGGTGGACAGAGAAGCATGATATGAAAACACCTGAGAGTGAGGATTAAGATCTTCTGGAAGATTCATTAAAATTCAATGTTCATGTTCACGGAAATGATAAAGGGAGTCAAGAAATTCTCATGCAAAGAATCAGCATCAAAGTTGAAGCCAAGGATTTGAGAGGTAGAGTTGATCACCTACAGGTTTTAGAGAGAATATACAGCAATTGGAAGACAGAAAAGAAGTGGAGGCAGAAAGTACTACTTGTCCTTAGTTCACACATAGTGACATAAGAGTACAAGGTTCTAATTCTAGAAGAATTGTTATTCACTATCTATTTTTTAATTTCCAAGATTAAACTACTTTTCAGTCCTAAATTTTGATCAAGTAGTATTTGCAAACTCAATCAACATTTCTTCTAGGTCTATTTTATTTCCATTTAAATTTTCATTAGTCCTATCTAAAATACCTAGAAAACATTATCAATTTCTGTGATGGCAAATCTAATGAATAAGCATGTATGAAAATAAATTAATAAGCATGAGAACATGGAGAGTTCAGATGAGTTTAAAAACACATTGTGAGAACCGAGCTGTTAGAAATGTCTAAGTAGGATCAATGTTATGAGAGAGTATGTGAACTATGAAAAATGCCTGAGGTTTCTGAAAGAGGCAGTGAGCTCCTTTTTGGCTTCAGAAATCTGTCTTAATGGACACCATTGAGAATAAAATATGTTTAATCTAGAAAGTTGGTTTACTGTGTTAGGAATTTACTAATAGGATTGAAGGACTCAGAGATGATGGAGACTATCTGCATTGCTTAAAGAGAGAAAATACAGGGAGAATGAAGAATGATGGAAGAAGAAATCTCATAGAAAGTAATGAGAAGCCAGACAAAGAAACTGGGATTTAGACACCAACTGGGATGAGGTTCCATTCTCATACAAGAATATAGAAGATAAGGGGTGATGAAGTCACATATATTTACATTACTTAGAAAGTCCTAATCCAGTGATATTCTGTATTGATGGAGGGATAGACTTTTAATAATCTGTGTCTCCTGGCTGAGAATATGTACTATAAGTTTCTCCTGATGAGTATATGTCTCTAGATTCTCAATTACCTAAAGTGAAAAATTGAAATGCTAAGATTGTCTTTAAAATTGTTTAATCTTCAGCTGTGTAATGAATGTTGAATGTAAGGCATAGAAGACTTACTTCTAAGTAGGCATGTGGGTGTTTTAGATATATCAGTCATGTCTCTTTCACTTGTGCATGCTTATTTGAAGAGACATAACATAGCCAGATATTAATATTCATTTGTAAATGTATTTCCTCCAAATTCTAACTAAAGGTAATAGGAAAAAAATTTTTTTTCTGCTTTGCTAAAAGGACTCCCAGCTCTAATTGAAGAAGTCATTTAAAATATACAAAGAGATTCAGGATAACTTTCCATTGCAATTATATGATGATGGCATTCATAATTAATTACTTCCTATCATTGACAAAATGAGAGCAGAACATTACAAGGCTTAGAAGACAGGGCTTGATGATATATAATATTTCTATTCTGACCTCCATAAACTTTAATGGCTTAGCTAGAAGAGAAATAGATGTTAAAGTCCAAAAAGTTACAAAGGAAATAGAAAAGATAAAAATGAATTTGTGACAGTAGAATAAATTTCTATTAACTATCTTCTTTTCCTCTCATAAATTTAGTGAAATTCATGAACTCTTTTGACCTAGCCAGTACAGTGTTGGATAACTTCTTTTCAATAAATAAATTAAATAACTGGTAATAATTTATGGCCTATAAATAAGAATTTAAAATCTGCTTCTTTCTAAAAACTAGGATTTTTAAAAAATAGAAGATAGGTTTGCAAAAAAATGGTATTTAATTGCATTACAAATTCTGTCTATATTTAACATTGTTTAATATCCAGAGATCTGAGATTTCAATGTGAATAGACACTAAACATATATTTCTTCCATGTATTTGTATAAAGACATTGATATTCATATATTTAATATTAAAAATACAATATTAAAAAGCATTTAAGCTCTCGACATCAAACATTCTATAATGAGATTGAACTGAGTTTTAACAACTACAATAGTTAAATCTCTCATGGAGACCGAGAACAAAACTTTAAAGTACATGTGGAAATTAGCACATAATGAATTACAAATCCATGGCATAATGAACATTATTTTCCCTTATTTAGATGTGTAGGTCTTTGCTCATGTATTCCTTCCATTCATGTTCATAACTGCTTGGCAAAACACTCACAGTAATTACCTAACACTAAAGTTCTTATTCTTCTGGCACCATAACTACCCTCTAAGTCTTTATCAACTGCTTTTAAAATAGAACTCTATTTATACATACATATTCATTAAATCAAAGGAAACAGAAACAAACATCAGCATGATTTCCAAAGCTCTACAAATAAACTTCATCACACCTAGAAGCTTTTGTTAAGTCCATGATTACTTGTTCCATAATTACTCTAAAAATGTATTATTTCTGAGAAATATAGCACCTGAGTAACTTATCTGAAAAAAAAATACTTGTATTTTCTAGATGGTTTCAAGTACATCTAAATACTATGGAGTCTTTGCCATGCCTAGACATTTGAAATTTACATATTGCTAATCATACATTTAATGCTATAAGCTTCATAATACTATTTGAAATCTATTCAAAGAAGATTAACTATCGGATTTTTTCATTATGTAAGTTAAGCATTCTTGCTTTTATCCCTTATAAACAAAATGTTTAACTCACACACCTAAGGCTCAGGCAAGATTACCGAAGAGGGGGAGGAAAGATTTTAAGAGACAGAGGATTAGGGAATTTGCTGTAAGATGTGTCTCCTAGTAATATCCACAACTATCCCAGTAAACTCCTACCAACCAGACTGTCCATACATGAGCTGAACAAGGGTGAGGCCCAACCAGATGTGGAAAAGCCCACAACTGCTGGCAATGGTCGAGATACAGCCCGAACTGACCTACTCTGGTGATGGGATGGCCAAACACCCTGATTGTCATGCTAGAAACCCCATCCAACTACTGAGGGATCTGGATGCAGAGATCCATAGCTAGGCCCCAGGTGGATCTCTGGGAGTCCAATTAGAGAGAATGAGGAGGGTTTATATGAGCGAGAATTGTTGAGACCAAGGTTGGATAAAGCACAGGGACAAATAGCCAAACGAATGGAAACACATGAACTATGAACCAATGGCTGAGGGGTCACCAACTGGATCAGGCCCTCGGAATGGGTGAGACAGTTGATTGGCCTGATCTGTTTGGGAGGCATCCATGCAGTGGAACCGGGTCCTGTGCTCATTGCATGAGTTGGCTGTTTGAAACCTGGGGCCTATGCAGGGTCGCTTGGCTCAGCCTGGGAGGAGGGGACTGGACCTACCTGGACTGAGTCTACCAGGTTGAACTCAGTCCGCGGGGGAGGCTTTGCCCTGGAGGAGGTGGGAATGGGGGGTAGGCTGGGGGGAAGGTGGGGGGGGGCAGAGGGGGGAGAACAAGGGAATCCGTGGCTGATATGTAGAACTGAATTGTATTGCAAAATAAAAATAAAAAATTTAAAAAAACCCAAACAACAACAACAACAACAACAACAACAAAAAATGACAGGCAACTGAGGAAA